ATCGTAAAATGGTTCTTCAGATTGATGGATATGGTTGTATGTAGAACCTTTATGAAAAGGGTCCTATCTTGCACCAAAATGGTTCTTTTATTGTTACAATCTTGACTTTTTGGTGCTATACAGAACCACTGTTTTTACTGAAGAACGCTTGAAGAACCATCTTTTTTAAGAGTGTGGAAAGAAGATTTAAACTGCATTAACACTGATCAGGGGATCAACTGCAAGTACCTCAACCTAATAAACCACAAATAAAAGGAACCACATGAGGCCAAATAAATCCAATGGTGGAACCAAAACATCACATGCATTATAATCCCACTCTCTTCAGATCTTTCTGAGCAGCTGCCGTGCGCCTTCCCAGTTGCAGATTAAGAGCAGCCCTATAGACTTTTTATTGGTGAGTCACCAATGGCAGCAGTATTAGTCCAAAGCTAGACTTAATCTATGCTCAGTAAACTGGATCAATGAGTTCTAGTGAATAAAGTGAAGATTTCTCTGCACCATTAAGTCATCAGTACATTCAGCTGAACAGTTAAACAGTTGCGCTGCACAGCCAACAGGTGGCACCATCAAACTTACACGTATTCAAGGCAGTTCAATAGGAATCAAAGCACTTTATCTGCTTTAAAAGGATGAGTCCTCCACTCTGAAGCAGGTGAGATGCAGAAATCAATGCTAACCTTACAGTCATAGGTGTTGACCCTCAGCTGCTGTTTCCCAGTGGACTGAATATGAGATTGCACCGTAGGCCTGCTCTACACACCAAATGTCGTACCAATGATACTGCAACAGCAATGATATATTAAATAATTATTTTTTCACTCAGACCAAGACACTTTATCTAAAGCCCTGTGCCTATAGACCTAATGTACCAGAATATTATCTCGGGATTACACCGGGGGATGAGGATTTCAAAATGGCCCAGCAGTCTTGCTCAAGATTGCACTGTCTGCATAACACTGCAGAATTCATTACTCTGGAATAATGGGGACGGAATAGTGGAAATAATGCTGAACTTCACACTAGAGAGACGAGACTGTAACCCCCTTTAGGCGAGAGTGCAGCAGTCGTAAAACAGTAAAGTGTGCGCTCATTCATTTTGAATCTAATTTAATTGGAAAAAGTTATCAGTAATGTAAGACTGATGTACCAGTGTCAGCAAAACTCAATTTCATATATTGTTAGCCTTTTGTTTATGCATCAATATTGGATCTTTAAGTAAGTATTATTTATTTATATCGCGCATTTAAAACCAAAGTGCTTTACAATAAAACACAAAAAAGACTCCCACCTTCCGAACCCCACAACCATACATTCACACCACAGTGTACAGACCTCAGTCTGCAGTTCAACGGCTGCTGAATGCTAATCGATAAAAGTGTGTTTTAAGCTTGGTTTGAAAAACAGTCACAGATGGAGTCTGATGTCACTTGGGAGGCCATTCCAAAGTCTTGGTGCGGCGACTGCAAAAGCACGATCGTGTTTTAGTTTAAGACGAGACCGCCGGACAGTTAAAAGTGATTGAGATGCAGAGCTTAAAGATCTTGAAGTCGCATGTCCACAACATATGCAGGTGCCTGACCATTTAAAGCTTTAAAACCCACTAATACCATTTTATATTGGATTCTGTAATGCACTGGGAGCCAGTGTAAGGAGGCCAAAACTGGAGTAATGTGCTCTCTTATGGCCAGTGAACATTCTGGCTGCAGCATTTTAAAGTAGTTGTAAACGAGCCAGAGATGCTTTGTTGCTTCCAAAATGAAGTGCATCACAGTGATCCAGTCCAGACGTCACAAAGGGATGAATGACTTTTTCCAGATCTGAAGCATTAAGAAAGGATTTTAACCTGGAGACTGTCCTAAGCTGGAAGCAACTGACCTTGACCACTGCGTTATTTTGCTTATCAAATTTTAATTCGGTATCAAAAATGACCCCGAGGTTTTCAACTTGTGTTTTTATAAAAGGAGTTAAAGAACCCAGATTTTCTTTCAAGCTCTTGTTTACTGTGGGTGGACTGAACAAAATAACCTCTGTTTTGCTATCATCCAGCAAAAGAAAGCTCTGGGCCATCCAATTCTTAATATCCATGATACATTCATTGAGTCTTCCTAAGGACTAATGATTTCCAAGGTTCAAAGGTACGTATAGTTGTAGATCATCTGCGTAACAGTGAAATGAGGTTATGTTCGCGAATAATTTGGCCTAGGGGGAGCATGTATAACGAAAAAAGGACAGGGCCTAAAATGGACCCTTGCGGAACCCCAGATGTCATGGCCACAGATGAAGAGGAGTATTTCCCAATGCTAGCGGAAAAGGTTCTATGTTTAATATAAGAGATAAACCAATTAAGAGCCAAACTCTTGACCCCAAGGCAGTGTTCCAAATGCTTAATGAGTACATCATGATGAACAGTGTCGAATGCAGCACTCAAGTCCAGCAAGACCAGGACAGAACAGTCACCAGAATCAGCATCAAGTAAAAGACGAGATATTTCTTCACCTCATGATGTATTTGACCAAAGATGCTGTCTCTTTCAATAGAGTTCTTTCAATAGCCTTGTTTTTCAAAGCTCCAGTCATGTAATCCACAGCACCTGTGCATTCCATGTATCTGAGTCACATCATAAGCTATTGAACAGGACCTTAAGTGGAGAAAGAGAACACAAAACTGCAGTGCAAGTAGACTACAGTAGAGCTGGGAAACAGGGCTGTCTTTCAGAAATTCTGGACTCCATGCAGCTCCGTTTCCAATTGATCCAAGTGATTAATTAAACGGGAAGAGGTTGAACGTGAGCACAAGCCAGTCAATGAGTGTGTTTACATGCACTCAATCCAATCATGATCGGATTTCTGCAGTTATTTGATTACTCAAATGGTCATGTAAACACCATACTCCGATCTAGAAATCCGATTGAGAAATCCGATGAAGAGAGCTGGATGTTAGCTCAGTAATCAGATTTCTCAGTGCATGTGAACTCTAACTCTGATTTCTTTCAGATTTCTCAGTCTGCACATGTGCAAGAACAGACGGTGGAGTTTATTGGCTGGTGGCAAAGTTGAAATCCAGTTACGGTCTGACTCACGTAGTGAGTTTTCCCATTATCTGATTACTCAAGAGCATGTAAACGTGTCGATTAGATTACTGACAAAATCTGTTTTTATGCAGTTATCAGATTATTAAGTGCATGTAAACGCATTCAATGCCAGTAAGACTGATGCAGCAATTTACCTGCATGAGACTTGCAGTCCATGTGTGGACAGAAGAACAATGATGTCTTGATTACAGCTAGAAACGCTGTGACACTTTTGTCTTTACAGTTCAGTTTTCAGGTTCTGCAAGTGAAAAACATAACTAGAGTGTATTGTCTACATAATCCTAGGGGATACCACTCAAGAGAAGTGGCAAAATCTGCCACATAAGCATGCATGGCTGCTTCACCGCAAAAGATGCGCAGCCTTGATAAGCAATAGGTAAAGTCAAGTGATGTCATCAGTGACGACTAAACTACGGGAAAATTTAAAAGGCAAAAGTTACTGTTTTAGTAAGTTAACACGTTCCTGTCTCCCACTGTTTCGGATATAGGAGGTTTCCTTACAACAGAGTCAGGTATGTTTTACGACTTCTGGTCCAACTTATGTGCTCACATTTTTAACCCTGTCAAAATTACTTACCCCTTTAATCTCAAAGGTTTTATTTGTTACTACAATAACTTTACTAACAAGCCTCTCGAGTACATTGTTAATTTTTTTCATTCTACTTGCTAAATTCTTTATTCACAAACAGAAGTTTTCAGATTCTCAGCCAACCCCGTCCCTCTTTTTAGTGGAATTTAAATTACTGCTCCAGTCCTTACATCTTGTAGAAACTAAGAAAAGTAACAGATTTTTGAATTTCTGTGACCGGCTTTATGGAGAGACACTTGATTAACTGGCTTTCCTCTTGTGTGTGTGTGTGTGTGTGTGAGAGAGAGAGAGAGTGAGTGAGCGAGTGTGTCTATATGTATGGCCCAATCCCATTTCACCCGTCGCCCCTACAACTTAGCCCTTAGCCCTCTGTTTTGCGCGTTCAGGTCTAGGAGTAGGGTGTCCCAATTTTAGATAGAGGGGTAGGGCGAAGTGTTAGGGCTATGTGGCTCTCCAAACAGAGGTTTTTCAGAGACTCCAAACAGAGAGTTATGAAAAAAAACAGAAAAACCGGCAAGATGGCTGAACAAGAGCCCAAAGAAACCCACAAATGTGAGAATTTTCTCAGTTAAAAATTACGATAACCACTGTATTATCTTAGTTTAATGTTGTTTCAATGTATTATGCTCGTTTTCTTCATAACAAGCATAAAGTCGCTAATAGCATGCTAATGTCTTGGTAGCTAGCTAGCCAACTTTCCCGTTCCACCTTAAATAGTCCAGCAGTTCTGAAGCCTGAAGCGCCAGAATGTAACTGCTGCACCATTTAAGGTGGAACGGGAAAATTCGAACAAGAAGCTGGTGAATACCTGACTTCACCAAAGAATTAGGGGTGGGTGATAATAAATAATTGCCCCCCTCTTTGAAGGCATATGATGCCCTAAATGTAACTAAAGCCCAGCAGTGAGGAGCTGAACTTTACCCTCCTCTGCTGTCACTGAAGACGGGCCGGGTCGCCTACAGAGCAGCGCTAGTAGACTGTTAATGAAGTAATGTTATTTTTTTATTATTATTTGAGGGTTTGTCCCATTTCGTAGGGCAAGATCACAACCACTACCCCTTGTAACTCAGTTCCAAGGGCTTAGGGTGACACTCGAAAAAAGGGGGAAGGGGTAAAAAGAAGAAATGGGAGTGGGCGTTTATGTGTATGTACGCATCCTCCTGTACTGTTCACATATTCTTATATGGTGTCTGATGATGTGTTGGTCTGACGTTGGTTGTATATTTCGTATATTCTTCAAATAAAAAAAATAAAAAAAAACCGCACAGCTAAACATACAGCGCGGCACTCTCGTTACCATGGCAACGCTAGTAAACAACGCTGCTGTGGAGAAGAGCCGCGCCAGACTCCCCTCCACCTTCAGCACTTTCAGAAAGCAAAGGACAGAAGCGGCGCTGGAGTTACAGCTTCTGAACACAGTCCCTCCGAGCACGACCCAGTTAAAACCCGAAAGGTGAAAGGTGAGCGCTTTTAGCCCAGTCTGTGGATGTTTTTAGCCAAGGTAGCTAGTTAGTTAGCCTCGATGTCGTTTCCGCAAACATTGGGCTCAAACACGAATATTCCAGTTTGGTGTGCGAGCCAAGTTGTCCGGTGCTCTGACGAGTTAAGTTATGCTGGAGAAAACCTACCATAGTGGATATTTACAGGTAGCTCCGTACATAAAACTGTAGAGAGGATATTGTGATAGTCGGAAAATGCTACCAGCATTGAAATAAACAGGTAAGATACACCGATCAGGCATAACATTATGACCACCTCCTTGTTTCTACGCTCATTGTCCATTTTATCAGCTCCACTTACTATATAGGTGCACTTTGTAGTTCTACAGTTACAGACTGTAGTCCATCTGTTTCTCTGCATACTTTGTTAGCCCCCTTTTACCCTGTTCTTCAGTGGTCAGGACCCCCATGGACCCTCACAGAGCAGGTACTATTTGGGTGGTGGATCATTCTCAGCACTGCAGTAACACTGACATGGTGGTGGTGTGTTGGTGTGTGTTGTGCTGGTCTGAGTGGATCAGACACAGTAGTGCTGCTGGAGTTTTTAAACACCTCAGTGTCACTGCTGGACTGAGAATAGTCCACCAACCAAACCTATCCAGCCAACAGCGTCCTGTGGGCAGCGTCCTGTGACCACTGATGAAGGACTAGAGGATGACCAACACAAACTGTGCAGCAGCAGATGAGCTATCATCTCTGACTTTCCATCTACAAGGTGGACTGACAAGGTAGGAGTGTCTAACAGAGTGGACGGTGAGTGGATGCAGTGTTTAAAAACTCCAGCAGCACTGCTGTGTCTGATCCACTCGTACCAGCACAACACACACTAACACACCACCACCACGTCAGTGTTACTGCAGTGCTGAGAATGATCCACCACCCAAATAGTACCTGCTCTGTGAGGGTCCATGGGGGTCCTGACCACTGAAGAACAGAGTAAAAGGGGGCTAACAAAGTATCAGAGAAACAGATGGACTACAGTCTGTAACTGTAGAACTACAAAGTGCACCTATATAGTAAGTGGAGCTGATAAAATGGACAGTGAGCATAGAAACAAGGAGGTGGTCATAATGTTATGCCTGATCGGTGTATTGCTGTATATTGCACATATATTTTGGATGTGAAGAAATATATATACATATATTTTCTTTTTTTCTGAGTTCACTGGAAATTTTAGGTTAATGTGGCAAGACAAATAAACAGCTAGTGAGAATTCAGCTAGTTCCTCTAACATTGTATCACACTTACTTGTTCTAGGACCTGCAAAGAGCAGAAGCACAGGATCCCCAGCAGAATGACTTGGCAGTAAAAGATGACAGAGCAAACGGGGCAAACTGAGCGGAAGTGGAGGAGTGCCACAGGTGCAGATTTAAAAAGGATGTGCCCTCAGCAGAGAGCTCGACACCTGGCCTACGCCGAGCCCTCCAAGGAGGCGAAAGGGTGGATGGCGGCTTCGAAGCAGCGGGTTCGTGCTCGACTGGCTCAAGAGAGGACGGCAAGCGAGAAAAATCCTCAGCACGTCTCGGATTCAAAATTGCATCAGGATGTGCTCATTGGGCAATTAAAAGCCGATGAGGCGAGGAATAGGATTCGACACATGAGGCTGCAGTACCAGAACTTGAGGGCAGAGTATTTTATACTTAAATATGCCGTTCAAAAATAGCTTTATAGATCACGTAGCTTTTTGTGGGCTGTAAAATGTGTTGAAAAGATGTTATCCCTTCCTTAGCACTTCTGTGTCGGGAGAGATACCACAGCGAGTAATTACCACTTGCCTTAAAACCCCAACTCGTTTTTTTCTGTGTCTCTCCAGGCACAGGAAATTAACTTAATGATTTCATGTCAGTCCAGTGCACAGAGCGCTGTGCGCCTAGAGCTGCTACTGTTGGCACAGGAGAGGAAGATGAACAGTACAGACAACCTGGACCAGCTACAGGTAGACTCTGTTCATTCTAGTGGGCTTCACAGGTTATGATGTTTAATAAGACGCTGCACTATGTAAGATTTGTGTAAGTTTTTCAGACCATTTTATACGTCTTTATATATTAACATCTTATACACAGAGTCAGAAAGAAAGTCTGGTTCAATGTTTAGGTCTCAATGTGTTCTTCCATACATTGCATGCAATTACACATTTTCACCAGAGAGGTCTCCAAATCCCCAAATCTTACATAGTGCAGCTTTTTGCAGACTTTTACAGAATTACAAACATTACAGACTGTGGCATGCACCAGTCCCCCGGGCCCCGATGATGGCCGCGAGAGCTGGAAGGGAGGCGGGGTCGGTGACGAGGAGGCGGAGCAATGAGCTCTCGTTCCTTCTCCCCACCGTCCTCATGTGGGTTTGTCCTCGCTCGTAGTGCAGGCCCTGCCTTCCTGCCGGCTCTCGTGGCCGCCATCGGGGCCCGAGGGTCTGGCGCATGACACAGACATATTAAAACATAAAACATAAAAAATTCAAATCTTGGCCTCAGAAAATCTGTTTGAAGCTGAGAGTTTCTTTGTATAGTGAATTACACAGTTCACTACGTTTACATTCAAACTATATTCTGTATGGACAGCTTTGAATGTGCACTTCTAACTTTTTTCTGTTTGTTTTCGTGTCACTAAATGTTCTGCGAAACATCTCTACACTGCAAAAAAAGTTGTTTTAACTTAAAAACTTTTGTTTTAACTTAGTGTTCGGGCTGCCTTCAAATTTTGAGTGAATTGCATTTCAAATAGTAAGTTAACAGAACATAAATCTGTGTTTTATGCCCTGTCAACTAATTATTAACTCAAAGGTCAGCCTGGACCCTGACTTTTTTAAGTTGAAACCCCAGATTTTTTGTGGTGTACAAAACTACATTTCATCAAGTTCATATCACATTAAAATATCTCCTCTTCTATACTTACAGACGTATGCGGTATCAATTGAATCCACACTTTTTTAGCAGAATTTCTCAGCTTCTTAAAGTGAGCTATGAATGAGAAATGATTCATGTCGAATTCCACCATGCTTTTATTGTCACCAGTGATAGCTGTGGTGAGTTAGTAATAAGACTTAGAGGGCCCATATTATGAAAAACTGAAATTCCCTCAGAGTAAAAAAAAAGAGTTTGATGTAGTATATAAACTTTGCTAAAATTTTAAAACATACCGCTCACTTCTCAGTCCATATAGTCCATATATGGAAATAAAGCTGCAAAAACAGCCCATTTTGAAGTCACTGTTTCTGTGATGTTATGAAAACCAGCACATTTATATATATCCATCTATTCTGCCTACAGCAGTTTAGCCCTGTCAGTTCACACTGAAGTTATAAGGAGTGTCGCAGCCTGGATTGCTTTTTAAATGAGGCACAAAGCAGGGCAGCCAGTCAGAACAGAGGTTATTTACATATATCAATCAGTATATCAATATATCAAGGCACAGTAACAAAAACAAAAACATTAATTTAGGGATAAAGTGTGGCTGGAAAAAGTAGTGTAAACATTAACTATGACTCGTTTTAGTACAAAAAAAACCCCACAAATTTATCATAACTAAACCTCTTGGAAAAAATAAAGTACATTAAAAATGTAGGATATTCAGTCACTTTCACTTAAATATTGCTATGAAAGTAATAATTAAATGAGACTGAGAAATGAAAGTGACCTTTCATTTCTCTTTCATGAGGTTTATGTGTTTAAAAAGCCCAAAATATGTTATCCCCCATTAGCTTTTTCATATTTCTTATGCAGGTCATATAGTTTAGCTTTAAGTCAGGCGTACACTGTGCGATTTTAGCCCGTTTTTAAGCCTGATTTGGTCAGAGCTGACGAATTTCCTGATCGGGCCAATTTTCAGCTTCATCGGCTGTCGTTTGCCATGCAATGTGAGAGGGCAAACGATGCCCGATTAACTGCCCAAACGAGCTCCAATGATCAAATGGATTTCTGACATGTCAGAAAATTTGGTCTAAGCAAATTTGGCTAAGTCGCACCCAAAACCACACTCAATCACAGCCACCGCTCCTGCACTGAGGCAAAAAGGTCCACATTTGCGGCACCAGCATTTGTATGTGACAACTTTGCTCTGCTTGACTGAGTTGAATTGCGAGGTATAAATAAATACAGTGTTTTGTTGTCTTTGTAGAGCTGCCTGTCTGTACAGCACCTGTCCTTCAGCTTCAGTGCACAGTGTGGCACAAGTTAGCAGAGCTGTTGTAGTGGTTTGTCAGTGGCTGAATCTGGCCTCTACACCAAAACAGTGCACTGTTTGTCCAGTATGGATCTGTGCACACATGGCTGAATCTCAGAAGGCTATTTATTAGACATGTGATGCACTTTTTTTAATTTTAATATGTGGTGCACTATGTAGGGAGCAGGGATCCGTCTGAGATTCAGACAGTGTTTTGATGAGGACATCGGTGCGTCATGTCAGTCGGGCCGAGTGTTTTCGTACAGTGTAAGTATATAAACTGTGGACTTTGTTTGTACACGAGGGGCGATTCAAACGTACAGTGTGAGCTGTCACCAAAGAACAAGATTTCTAAAATCACAGTGTATGCCTGACTTTAGGAACAAATTTGCTCTCCTTTTCCACTGGCATCACTCACACAGCGCACCTCTACTGGCTATTGGATGACTGTGATACAATGGACCATTCCTGCTTTTACATGTGGGTTCATATATCGTGTAATAAGTTGTGTGGATGAGTTTGCATAAATCAAGACAGACTGTGAGAACCGAGCAGTGATTTTGTTATTCTCCCAACCAGGATCTTGTTAGATCCATTTTAAAGCCTTAACAGCCACATTAAACCCAACTAAGGCTGAAATATAGCTCCAGTTAAGAGGTAAAGCTGCCAAAGGATGATCCCAGAATATTAAAAAACATTTCAGTAGATCTTAGACTGTTTATTATCTGCTAACGGAAATTTATTTTGTTCCATTTGGCAAGGGGACTCTATCGTGGGCCTGGAGGGAAGGATCTGAAGGCGAGCAAGGCCCTGAATAATCTTGGCCGCTTTCCTTTATTCTCAGTCTGTGAGAGACCTTGGGCCGCAGTAATGATGAGGATATCCTCAGCATGACACATCCGTGGGGAATATCATTATGACCTACGCACTAGATGTGTTGTTGGTACTTTGTGTAAATGTTCCTTTCACGATGCTGGAAGAGCAGATAGAGAATGATCAGTCACAGGGACCATAGAGAACCATAGCCTTGGTCCTGTGTATTGTCAGTGTTACATCAAATATCCTTGTAACTTAATTATTTATTTGAAAACAGCAGCTACGCTTTACATTGTGTGAACATAACCTGTTCAACATCCGGAAGATCCGACCCTTTCTCTCTCGAGAGAGGCCACCCAGGTGCTAGTGCAGTCTCTTGTCATCTCAAGGCTTGACTACTGCAACTCCCTCTTGGCTGGTCTTCCTATGCGGCCATCAGGCCTCTGCAACTCATCCAGAATGCAGCAGCAAGACTCATCTTCAATCTCCCAAAGTTCAGCCACGTCACCCCACTGCTGCGCTCCCTTCACTGGCTTCCTGTAGCTGCACGCATCAGATTTAAAACCCTTATGCTTGCCTACAAAGCCAAAAATGGACCAGCCCCTCCCTACTTGATGGCAATGGTCATATCTCGAACTGTACCACGAGCCCTTCGCGCTTCGAGTACAGCTCGGCTTGACCCGCCATCCTTCAAGGCGCGTGGAAGGCAAGCATCTAGACTGTTCTCTGTGCTGGCACCCAGGTGGTGGAACGAACTCCCACTGGCTGTCCGTACAGCAGAGTCTCTCGCTGTCTTCAAACGCAGACTGAAGACACACCTGTTTATTCAGCACTTAAATGAGCACTAAATTAAGTATTGATTGTAATGTATTGTACAGCACTTATGTATTGTATTGTATTGCACTGTTCTGTGTTTAACTCTGTCCCTTTTTCATTAGGTGTCAATGACCTTCTGATTCTAGCAGTATCTGAGCTCAGGACTGGCTTTCTCTCTAACCTATTGGTAGCTAGCGAAGATTCTTTCTCTGGATAGACAAAGCACTTTTTGTAAGTCGCTCTGGATAAGAGCGTCTGCTAAATGATGTAAATGTAAATGTAAAACATATCATGTTGAACGGACCAATAGAAATGAATAGTTCCACATTTTTAACTAATCCCACAAAGTCACCGTGTCTGAGATACTATGTATTGTCTTTTAGTTCACTGGTATTAAGCATATCTTTCCTTACGCCACCAGCAATACATTCAGAGACTTTCTTCTTTAACTCATTCAAATCTGCCTGCAGAGTAGTCGGGACACAAACATCCACTTTGGCCATAGTAAAATGTCAGCTTTCTGTGTGCTAACATGTATATAAAACTATAATAATAATAATAATAATGATAATAGTAATACTATGGTATTATTATTATTATTATAATTATATTATTATTATTATTATTATAGTTTTATATACAACCCCATTTCCAAAAAAAGCTGTGCAAAATGTAAATAAAAATAAAACGCAATGATGTGCAAATCATTTAAACCATATATTTAATTGAAAATAGTACAAAGACAACATATCAAATGTTAAAACTAACAAATGTTATTGTTTTTTGAAAAATATATGCCCATTTTGAATTTGATGCCAACAACACGTTCCAAAAAGTTGGGACGGGGGCAACAAAAGGCTGGTAAAGTTGTGTAATGCTAAAAAAAAAAAAGCACCTGGTGGTTAATTGGCAACAGGTCAGTAACATGATTGGATATAAAAAGAGCATCTCAGGGAGGCTGAGTCTTTCAGAAGTAAAGATAGGGTCACCACACAGTCCTTCACCACTCTGTGAAAGACTGTTTGGGTAATACGGCAACAATTCAAGAATAACGTTTCTCAATGTAAAATAGCAAAGAACTATTGCTTTTCATCGTCTACGGTACATAATAACATTAAAAGATTCAGATGTATGCAAATGCAAGTTAAAGCTCTAAAACGCAAACAAGAAACCGTATATAAACAGGATCCAGAAATGCTGCCACCTTCTCTGGGCCCGAGCTAAGGGTCCTGTGGGTCGACGAATCAAAATTTGAAATTCTTTTTGGAAATCATGGACACTGTGTTCTCTGGGCTAAAGACCACTCAGCTTGTTATCAGTGCACAATTAAAAAGCCGTATTCATGATGTAGTATAGTGGGGCATTAGTGCACATGGCATGGGTGACGTGCACATCTGTGAAGACACCATTAATGCTGAACGATATATACATGTTTTGTAAACGTGCTGCATCCAGACGACGTCTTTTTCAGGGAAGGCCTTGATTATTTCAGCAAGGCAATGTTAAACCACATTCTGCATGTATTACAACAGCATTGCTCCGTATTAAAAGAGTCCAGGTGCTAAACTGTATAGTGTAGTGAGTAACACCTCTGCCTTCTATGCTGTAGACTGAGGTTCAATAACCGCCTGGCAAGCACCCTACACTATACCAGTAAGAGTCCAGGGGCAAGACTCCTAACACTACCTTCACCTACCTGTGTAAAATGATCAAATTGTAAGTCACTCTGGATAAGAGTGTCTGCCAAATGCCGTAAATATAAACTGGCCTGCCTGCAGTCCAGATCTGTCACCCACTGAAAACGTTTGGCACATTATGAGTGAAAAATATGACGAAGGAGACCCCGAACTGTTGAGCAGCTGAAATCCTGTATCAAACAAGAATGGGAAAACATTTCACTTTCAAAACTATAGCAGTGTCTCCCCAATTCCCCAGTGCTTACAGAGTGCTGTTAAAAGAGGAGGTGATGAAACACAGTGGTAAACAGGCCCCCGTCCCAACTTTTTTGGAACGTGTTGCCAGCATCAAATTCAAAATGGGCGTATATTTTTCAAAAAATAATAAAATTTCCCAGTTTCAACATTTGATATGTTGTCTTTGTAGTATTTTCCTTTAAAAATATGGTTTACATGATTCGTATATCATTGCATCCTATTTTTACTTACATTCTGCACAGCATCCCAAATTTTTTGGAAATGGGGTTTAAAACATAGGTTATGAAAAAGTACAAATACATTCTTTTCACCTGGGAAAACTTATTTTAGGTGCACAGTTGGGCCCTAAAACCACTGTTGTACCTTTGAGGGAACATTTATATTGTTTGTACCTTGATAAACGACACATGTACCTGCACAGAACCTTTATTTCTAACTTGTACAGCACCAAAAATGGTTCTTCTATTGTTACAGGTTTGACATCATAACAATAGAAGAATGCTTTTTGGTGCCACATAAACCCTTTTCAACAATGCTCTATATAGAACCATCTACAGCACATTCTCCTTTAGTCTGAAGAACTCTTTAACGATGCAAAGAACCCTTTAACCCTTTCGTGTTCACGGTTCTATATAGAAGAAAAAGAACCCTTAAAAGAACTATCATTTTTAAGAGTGCACAAGAGCCATCAGAAACTCATCCAGATGAGTTATGGGCCATTTTTGTCTGTAATTTTTTCAGCATTGTGGACAACATTAGAGGCTGCATGGGAAGTTCTAGAGATCCTCTCACAAAACAGGGAGATTTCTCGAAGGGGCTGCAAGTGGTTTGCAAAACACACATTATCACCTCCTTGTCAGAAGCGCATCCAGAAAAAAGGCCCGTTAGCGTGGTGAGGCCACGAGAAGTAAACACTTCAGGCACTGAACTATGACCAGCGCTCGATCCACCGATCAATAGGCATCTAGGTTTTTTTTTTATTCTGGAGCCCCTTCTACACTGTAAGTTCAGCACAATGCTGGACAGAACAGTTGAGGAGTTGGCACAAGATAAAAGCTGACTGACTGATGCATGGCTTGGATTTATGGTTCAAGGAAAACCTTGAATCGGAACAGAACCTTTGTGTTGAAGAGGTTCTTTAAACTTTATAAAGATTCTTTATAATATGAAACATGTTGTTTACAAAAGAGTTCTTTGAAGAAACATTGATTTAATGGAACCATAAGTGGTTCTTCTATGGCATCGCTCCAAAGAACTCCTTTTGCCAACTTTATTAAAAGTACTTTACATTATTCTGGGAGATACACTTATCAGACATAACATTAAACACAGTGTCCACTCACTGTCCACTCTAGTAGACGCACCCGCGTCGTTGGTCCACCCTGTAGATGTAAAGTCAGAGATGATAGCTCATCTGCTGCTGCACAGTTTGTGCTGGTCATCCTCTAGTCCTTCGTCAGTGGTCACAGGACGCTGCCCACGGGACGCTGTTGGCTGGATATTTTTGGTTGGTGGACTATTCTCAGTCCAGCAGTGACACTGAGATGTTTAAAAACTCCAGAGAGTTTTTGAGAATGATCCACCACCCAAATAGTACCTGCTCTGTGAGGGTCCATGGGGGTCCTGACCACTGAAGAACAGGGTAAAAGGGGGCTAACAAAGTATCAGAGAAACAGATGGACTACAGTCTGTAACTGTAGAACTACAAAGTGCACCTATATAGTAAGTGGAGCTGATAAAATGGACAATGAGCGTAGAAACAAGGAGGTGGTCAGAATGTTATGCCTGATGGGTGTATAAGAAATCAGTAGAAGTCACATGCCACAGGCATTTATCCCTTCACTCTTTTGCTTTTTTTTTTGATGCTCTCAGTAGCAGCGCTTTTCTCATCCCCACTATCTTCTATCTGTTGTTATACAGAGGCAGAGGGTGGAGGAGATTCTGGAGGATGAAAAGGGCCTTACCCTAATCAGAGGATAAATGGAGGCACAGCAGCACTCTAAAAAAGTTCCTCAAGCTCCTTTGTGTGTCCACCTCCAAAAGTTATTACAATGAAAACCTTCCTTACTTTCACATGAGCGAATAAAAATCATTAACCTGTGGCTGAAATTGCTTGATTCAAATGTACGTCAGTTCCACACATACAAACATATTCCAAACCCAATTTCAAAAAGGTTAGGACAGTAGGTGAAGTGCTGATAAAAACAGAAAATACCTGTATTGAGTTGAAAACAGTACAAAAACAAGACGTTTTAACCTGTTAAATATTTACTCATTCCAAATATAATGCCAGCAATACGTTCTAAAAGATTTAGGACAAAAGCATGTTTACCACTGTGTTACATCACTTTAACAGCACTTAACCCTCGTGTGGTGTTGATGTGTTTGTTACTCAGTGGTCTGGTGGACCCACCACATTATTGTTATTTTACATCAATACAGCCATAACGATTTATGTAAACATGCAAGATGTTTAAAATATCACATGTGGTCAGCGTAGGGTTCTCCTTTAGCAGCTATAGCCAGTCAGCCAAGGAATCTGAGGTTGAAATAACAATAAATTGCATTATTTTTTCTTTTGGTGAACACTGAAAATGGGTCCCACAGACGCCAACACCACACAAGGGTTAGAAATTGCTTGGGGACTTTGCTTGAGGAATAACAACGGATCCAGTTTTGGAAACAGAATTTTTTTGCCATACTTCTTAAAGTCTTCACCTGTGCAACTGTATGGGGCCTGCTGTCATATTTTTGCACTTCATAATGTGCCACACGTTTTCAACAGGAGACAGGCAGACCAGTCTAACACCCGCATTCTCTGATTGCGCAACCATGCTGTCGTAACACATACAGAATGTTTCTTGGCGTTGTCATGTTGAAATAAGCATGGGCCTCCCTAAAAAGGCAAAACTTTAAAGGAGAAGGAAAAAACACACTTTACTTTTAATGTAACTGGACGTTTTTCCAAGTGATTTTAGGCTGTTTGTTTTGCTCCATTCATCATGAAATTTTGACATAATGTAAAGAGCAATAGGCATTTTCAAATGATGTCTGTTACAACCCGTCTAGGGTAGGCCCCAATGTAAAAGTGTCTCCCCCAACTTCCCATTGCCAACCCGCCAGACCAATCACACTCAAACACATATTACTAGTCTCATGAGTTTTTTATGGATTGTGGAAGTCTTTTAGCTTCAGGGGTGGTCTCAGCTGAAAAGAACAAAGAAAAATATACCTCCCCAATCAGCTAACTTACCTATACAAAATGAAAGAAACATAGAAAAACATAACCTGACTCCCTCAACAAAAACAAAGACAAACCCCAAAGAAAATAAGGCTACATCCCCTACGGCTTCCAGTCTAAGGCCATGTTTACACAGCAGGTAAAAGTGGCCCAAATCAGTGTGTCAGTGTGAACAGCAAAAAATGTATTGAATCTGACATTTTCAATTCGCTTTCATATGTGGTACTGAAATCCAATACATATCCGATCTGCGGCAATGCGACTCAGTCTGAACAGCCAGATCGGAATTCATGTGACTTTTACGTCAGTCCAACTCGACATTCGTCATGATTTTGCGCTGCTGAGACTCATAAACATTTAGGCTGATGTTTCTGTACCAAAACATTAGAAGAGACTCATCACAGCCGCTCCGTGTTTGAAGAATGTCATTGGACTTTAGAATCGCTCCTGTGATGCTGGCGAAGACGAAACTGAAGGCTTCAGGATCGACAGGCGTTCACTGGCCATCATGATTGTCTACCCTTGGACGAGCCACGTGAAGAGAGTAGGCCCAACTACACGGAGAGTAGGCCCAACTACATGGAGAGTAGGCCCAACTATACGGAGAGTAGGCCCAACTACACGGAGAGTAGGCCCAACTATACGGAGAGTAGGCCCAACTACACGGAGAGTAGGCCCAACTACATGGAGAGAAGGCCCAACTATACGGAGAGTAGGCCCAACTACATGGAGAGTAGGCCCAACTACATGGAGAGAAGGCCCAACTATACGGAGAGTAGGCCCAACTACATGGAGAGTAGGCCCAACTACACGGAGAGTAGGCCCAACTACTACGTGTTTAGAACTCTTGGTCTGGCTGGTCAGGCAGCAACATCAAGGGAAGAAGGAGGAGCCTCGAGGAAGCCGGTCACCAGGCTTATAAGCTCTTGCCCTGATCTCGGCACAGCCCATCAGCGCATGCCACTGCACCTCCATCAGCAGCAACACCTTAAGGATATTCTAGACAGGAGAGTGAGGAGCTGAAGAAAGCGGGAGGTTACGCAAAAGAGAAGAGAGAGAGAAAAAAAACATTTAAACAATACGTTATTGGACAATGTCAAAAACTGAAAATGACAAAAATGGAGATGTGAGGTTTTGTTCTGACCGCAGCAATATGTTGCCCAAAAATGTGTATATATCTTTCAGTGTTAATTATGCTTTCACAGATGTGCAAGTGACCCATGCCACTGTCACACATATACCCCCAAACCATGACAGATGCTGGCTTTTGGACTTCATACTGGTAACAATCTGGATGCTTATTTTCTTCTTCAGCCCAGAGAACACAACGTCCATTATTTCCATAAACTATCTGAAAGGTGGACTCGTCAGCTTTGGACTCAACCCTTAACTCATCCTTACTCATGAAGGGCTAGGCCTTTCCTGGAGGCTCCTTTTATACCCAGGCGTGATTACATCACCTCTTTTAAAAGGTTTTCTTAACATTTAACAACATTCCTAGTCCTACATTATGCTTGTCCCAACTGTTTGGGAATGTGTTGCAGACATCAATTTCATAATGAGCTTATGATTACAAAAAAACATTAAGATTGATAAGACAAAACATTAAATATTGTGTCTTTGTACAGGTTTAGTTTAAATACAGGTCAAAGTGTATTGACATACTGCGGGTTTGTACAATTAGAATCAACTATGTTGATGCAGCCCATTTAAAATGTTATGCCAGCATATACAGTCTTTCTTAGTCTTAGCCTTTACTTATATATCTGTGAATGATTTACATATTTGAATCAAGTCTCTTTTCAGCCTTCAAACATGTCAGCAGTCCTGCCCTGCAACAAAGGGGCATTAATGGCTAAACCAAGCTTAGCTTGGTTGACACTGAAATGGCTTGTGGGATATTGCAGTAAGCAGGTATTTCTAAACAGAACAGCAAGACTGTTATGCCATTATTGTGATTTAAGGTTTGACTGCCCAGTACAGGGAGAACTGGTTATTATGCATTCACTGTTCTTTTCTTTTTATTGCAGAAAAGTGCATGAATCATTAGGTGAATCATGAGATGATTGTTATAGCCAATCACAAAACACTAGATTGCCCCTTGTTATTTTTCTTAGGGGCTTCTGTAATTGCGTGGTTAATACTAGCCGGCCGACTCAGAGCATTCAGTGTTTTTGAGAAAAATATCACCTACAGACAAGAGGGGGTTCAGTAACAGCATGAACTGCATGCAACATGGAAAGCAATCAGTTCAGAAGACATCTATCTACGCTCTTGTGAACGAGGTATCAACATGGTCCCTGTACGGAGGTCCAGAGAGGCCATGAGGTAGTTATAATTTTCTGGATTGTTATTTTTCTTATCTTGTTATTTCAAGATAAATTGTTATCTCGTGATAACAAAAGTTGTTATCTTAATATAACGAGTTAATTAGCTTGTTACCTCAAGGTAACAATGTTATCTTGAAATAACGAGTTCATTATCTTGTTATCCCAAGATAACAAAGTTGTTATCTTAAGATAATGAGTTATTTATCTTGTTATTTCAAGATAAAGTTGTCATATTGTCATCTCAAAATAACAAAGTTGTTATCTTGATATAACAAGTTATTTATCTTGGTATTTCAAGATAATAAAATTGTTATCTTGAAATAAGTTACTTATATTGTTATCTCAAGATAACAAAGTTGTTATCTTAAGATAATGAGTTATTTATCTTGTTATTTCAAGCTAAAGTTGTCATATTGTCATCTCAACAAAGTTGTTATCTTGATATAACAAGTTATTTATCTTGGTATTTCAAGATAATAAAATTGTTATCTTGAAATAAGTTACTTATATTGTTATCTCAAGATAACAAAGTTGTTATCTTAAGATAATGAGTTATTTTTCTTGTTATTTTAAGATAAAATTGTTATCTTGAAATAATGAGTTACTTATATTGTTATCTCAAGATAATAAAGTTGGTATCTTAAGATAATGAGTTATTTATCTTGTTATTTCAAGATAATAAAATTGTTATCTTGAAATAACGAGTTACTTATTTTATCATATCAAAATAACAAAGTTGTTATCTTGAGATGAGTTATTTATCTTGTTATTTCAAGATAACAAAATTGTTATCTTGAAATAACGAGTTGCTTATATTGTCATCTCAAAATAAAGTTGTTATCTTGAGATAATGAGTTATTTATCTTGTTATTTCAAGATACCAAAATTGTTATCTTGAAATAATGAGTTACTTATCTTGTTATCTCAAGATAACAATACAGAAAAATATACCAACAGCTCATGGCCTCTCCAGATGTTCCGTATCCCTGGAACGGTGGGGCCCAACTACTTTTTTAATGGGGGCCAAAGAAGGATCTCTATTATATAAATAAAAAAGATCTTCCCCTTATATCCTCTCACTAGCCACTCTTATTACATACGCCCACCATACATCGACACTTATGGTCCATTTTATCAGGTCCACTTATCATGTAGGTGCACTTTGTCAGTTTAAGGATGTCCATCAGTAACTCATAATTTACTAGCCTTTGTTTTACCCTGTTATCAGTGGTCAGGTGCCCCACAGGACCACCACTGATCTAGTATTATTTAGGTGGTGGATGATTCTCAGCACTAAACTGACACCAACTAATATTCCTACAAAATAAAGAAGAGGTTGAATGTATATTCTTGATCATTATGTTGCATAAAAATCAGGATATTTAAATAAGCCAGTCTCAAAATCAGCGCCATAAAAATGAACCATACATGAACTCTGCTTTCTAATTGGCTGGTTTAATTGTGCACTGATTTGAATTTAAT